GGTAGGGCGTGGCCACGATAATGTTTTGGTTAGACGTTACCTACTAAAGCCGTGATTTAGGAATTGTAACAGCTGGTACGGCATTCCCTGCCGCCATCGAGCCCCGCGCAGCGGCAGCTGGGCGAGTAGCGGGTGGGGCGGGGCGGGGGCGGCGGGGCAGAGTGGGGCTCGGCGCCGAGCTTGGCCTTCCCTCACGACGTCCACGCCAAGCTGACAGACGACGTCGCTGACCCAAGATCGAGGCTTCATTTTGCACTCATTGGTGCAGCATATCTGGGATCTTTCGGGGAAATGAAGAAACAGTTTGCGTAGTTTACTCATCATTTAATGCGTTGCATAAGTGTACAGCAAAGGATGCCAACAAAGCAGTCTTCGATAAACCACTCGCGAAGGTCGCAGTCGCAGCCCAGAGCGCACGCATTACAGTAGTCTCCAGGGCAGTTCTTTGGTACGGAAGGTACAATCAACCGCAACGAGGGGAAACCAGCGAAGAGCTTTTTGACGGCGTCCCTGTGCAACCACCCATGAGCGCAAACATGCTCTCTAGAGTACGGTTCCAGCACGAGCCTCTCTAGGGCCGGCGCCGTGTCCGGCGTGATGCGCGACAGCAGCTCGTCGGACGCGTCGACCACGTGCAGACTACGCAGGGCCGGCAGCAAGGGCAGCATGCCGAGCACCGGCTCCAGCAGCCAGAGGCACTTCTCGGGACTGTCGAAGCGGTCAGACGTGGACATCGTCAGCGACTCCAAGCGGGAAGGTCCAGAGGAGACCAGGGCTCGGACCAAGGGCTCGCCGCCGACGTCAGCGAGTCCACTGTCCAGAGGCACGCTGAAGTGCAGCGTGACGTCACGAAGCTGTTTGGAGCGGCGTAGGAGCTGCCAGGCGCCCACCACGGCCCGGCGCTCCGGTGACTCGCACACGTTGATGATCAGGGTCGTCAGGGACTCGCTTGCAGCCAGCGCCCCCAGCCCGGGTAGCAGCGGGCACTCCAGCTTCTGCAGGTTCGCTATCCCGGCCAGCAGCGGCACCGTCCCGTCCGAGTACGAGCAGCTGACGTCGGACAGGTGAGAGCACACGTTGAGGTTGACGTCCTCCAGGGTGGCGGCATGTGAGGCCAGCACGAAATGGACAAAAGATTCTGCTTTCGCGGTAATATCCACGTTAAAGCACTTGAGGGATGGAGTGGACGCGGCTCTGTGCTGAAGGACGCTCAGCATGATGGACGTTGCACGCGACGGGAGGGCAGTAACAGTGAGCTTTTCCAAGCCAGACGCCAACGCCACCGCCCCTAGCAGCACTGCGGATGCAGAGCGTGGCATGGATATTTCTAGGTTTCTGAGGCGGCCGAGTGCCTCCTGGTTGCGGATCATAGCGGCTGCGTGCATTGAGCCACCGCGTCGTACATCCAGGTTTAAAAATGACACGGCACACCTGGTCATGGTGTACGCCAACTGACACCCCTCCGTCGGTAGCTCGACAACCAGCCATTCCAGGCACGGTGCCAGGCGCAGTACAGGACAGGCCCAAACGAAGTTGTCGTCTGGGTATGGTAAGTGGAGCCCCCGATGCCGCCACACATCTGGGTGAAGCGCCAAGGCCCCCAGCTTCTTGCACACGAGGCGGCAGGTGAAGATGTCCTCTAGGTCGAGGTGCCACATTATCCCCAGCAGCACATCGTCCGGCAGCTGTTCTATGCTCTGTTGATGCGCGAGAGACAGAACATGATCAACAGTTAATGGAGGTTAGGCTAACCCATATTGTGACATAATAAAATCGCCATAGGTACGAGAAATTCGAGATATATAAGAAAGCAACCAGTATACACACACATTCAAAACGCTCGTTGGTTTACGACAAACCTTGAGACATTATCATGATATAGCAAAAGTCATGCAAGAAAACGGCCCGAGGGTTAGGGCCGCACATTAACTTCAATACACACGAACCAAGTTTGAAGATTGCGTCTCCATGATGACGCGCCGTCTGCCAAGAAAGGGGATGAATCGGTTGTGGATGTCTGCTCGACGACCTTCCACCGACCGGCCACAAGACAAGAATGCAGCCTGCGCAGCGGACAGCGGACTGACTACAGACTAGAGGAGGCCCGGTGCAGGCCGTGCCCCGTGCCAGTTGGTGGGCTTTTCCTACGCCGGCGTCACCCCCCTCCCTTTCGTAAAGCGCGGAGAGGGGCCAGGGCTGCGGACTTTCCCTGAGCATCGTGGCCGACTGTACTTTCCCTTCCCTCACGACAACGCGGCGGGGAAAACTAAACTTGTGTCAGCTGGGGTACCTCCTGTCCTCTGTCCTGTGCCTTGATGAGCGATAAGAAAGTGCCCTTTTGACCAAATGATAAAACTTTGCCCCATTAGTTATTGTCTGACGGCCGTTGCATGTAACAGCTGCGCCAAGAAAATAATTTCCTAGTTTCGTTCAATTTTGTTTGTTAAAACGCACGGTTTACTAGGAACATAACCCTCTTGATCAGAAGAAAAGCATTAATATGGAATATGTTCACATAACATTACAGCCCAGGGGGCAGAAAATTATGCTCAAACTCATATCAAGTCATATCATTTGACAAATATGATGTCATTTTGACGTCATAATCGTCAAATAACATGATTTGATATGAGTTTGACTATTTTCTGTCCCCTGGGAGGATATTCAACTGAAATCATTGGCGATTGCCGCAATTGAAAAGGAGATTATGTCTTGAAATGTTTATCCACAAGTAGTTTGTCTGGATTAGTTCCTAGGATATCGATGCAACAGTCGTAACTCAGCTTCCCTCCCCTCCCGAGCCAGCGGATGCAGCGCAGTTAGCTTCCCTCGCAGGCGCCGACCTTCAGGCAGGCGGTGAGCGCGCTCACGCGCACCTCGAGCGCGGGGTTGTTGGCGGCCAGGAGGGTCATCATAGGGCTGCGCTGTGCAGGTACTCGTAAGCGCACGCCCTCCGGTCGCTGACCGGCCGCCAGGCGCGGATTAAGGGGGGGGGGGCGAGGGGGGCGATCGCCCCCTGTCGTTCCTAGAGCGCCGCCTGGAAGGTAGGCAATTTGGGCAACAAAACCCCTGTATGACTGTATGTAGGCAACCGACAGTGCATCGCCCCCCTGTCAGCCGGACCTTGATCAGCCACTGCCGGCCGCAACCCGAGGGTGCGCAGCGCCGGCGCCGTGATGGGGTTGATGGCCCCGGCCAGGCCGTCGACCACGACGTTCAGCTCCAGGGGGCAGGGCTGGCAACGACGGCAGGGCGACGACCAGCGGCTGGAGCGTGTAAAGTGTGTGGCGCCTGATACTAAGCGAAATTGCCAATATTTTTGAAGAATAACAATCTCCGTACTCTTCTCTTTCCAAAAATGTGTGGGTTTGTCAATTTTCAGGTCATTTGGCTTCGCATATACTATAGGCCCCCTCTCCTTTCGCACTCCCACGCCCATTTCACGTGAGCGCTCACGCGTGCCTAACTTATACGGGTAGCCCGAGTCCTGCTGAAAGGCGTGGTCGTCGACGATCACGGAGAGAGCTCGCGGTTTGCTGAAGAGCGGGGAGAGGTGCAGTGTGGTGAAAGGGGGAGGGGGGTGGGTATTCCGGAATTATAAGTAAATGCTATGTTCTGTAACGAGTGCTAGACTTTTAAATAATAAAGCTACCTATTGCTGGTAACGGGTTCAATCCAGAAAAGATTTAGTTACGCTGGTTTCAAATCTATGTTAAGAACTGCT